GTAGAAATCCCCCCAAAATCCCCCTGGGCGTGTTCAGAGTCACCAGTGACGTCCCCAATTTCCCTCTCCCCTCCTGACCCCGCCCCAAGCCACGCCCCTTGATGGTGACCCCACCCCTCCATTGCCGCCGAGGCCGTGGGGTCCCCGCACCCCCAAACCGGGGTCCTCCCCCATCCACCCCAGGGTGCCCCCCACCCCAAATCAAGACCATTGAGGCACGGAAAGAACAAGAGCCGTTTATTGGGGTACGGGGGTTGGTCCCCAACGCGCTGGGGGGGCCCTGCAGCAGCCCCCAAGGCACTGCGAGAGGGGGTGGTGGGTGCAGCGGCACCGCCCCCACCCAGCCGAATAATAATAATAAAAAAAAAAAATGACTTTGGTCCTGATAAAACCCGCCGAGGGGCCGGGGGACACCCGGCTGCTCCATGGCAGGGGGGGTTAAGGCAGTTTTGGGGGGTGGTCCCTGGTGGGGGGGCGATGCCCGGGGGGGTGCTCAGAGGATCTGCCGGGGCATCCCGTAGCCCGTCATGCCAGCCTGCGAGGCGCCCCGGTTGGTGCCCATCTGCAGCCCGATGACGCTCTGGCCCTCCTTCAGCTTGTCCTCGGAGAAGACGCGCCGGTTCTCCTGCGATTTCCTGCGGGCACGGCAGAGTGTCAGCATCCCCCACAGGACCCCAACCTAATTCCCACCCCCCTTTCAGGACCTTCCACCTACTTGGGGAACCAGTTGGGGTCTCCCACGAAGAGCCCGTCGCCTTTGGCCACGGCCAGGCTGCCCAGGTTCATCAGGGTCCTCTGCACGCATGCCATGTTCTTCCCTGCAACAACAGCGGGCTCAGCTCTGTGTCCCCATCGCTGTCCCCATCGCTGTCCCATCCCTGTCCCTGTCCCACCCACCTTCCCAGAGATCCACGGTCTGGAAGATATCGGTGGCGGCGATGCCGTAACGCTCGGCCGCCTGCAGGAACTGCGAGATCTGCTCCATCTGCTTGAAGGCCATGGCCGATGCTTGGATTTTGGCCACGGGCGCCTGTCCCCGCGGGTGGAGGCTGTTGATGAGCCGGCACAGCACCTACGGCCGGGGACAGCGGTCAGCTCCGTGGCATGGTCACCCCCCTGTCCGGCTGTCTCCTCGGTGTGGGTACTCACGGTGCCATCCTTGAGCCACTGCTGGAAGCCGTCCCTCCCGGGYGCCGGTTGTGTCACCGCGCTGCCACCGTCACCGCCGCACTGCGCCAGGATCCAGCGCACCAGCACCTGCTCCAGCTCGGGGTCGTACTGCCGGTCGATTTTCTGCTGCACCTCCCGGCTCAGCCCGTAGGACGGGCCCCGGTTTGCCATGCTGACGGTGGAGCGGTCTGCGGGGACGGGACAGCGTCACCGGGCTGGGACGGAGCCCCATCCTGCCTGGAGTTTTATCACCAGTGCCAGGCGCTGCCCGGGCTCTGCCCTCTTCCTGCSCAGCTGGCCAGGAGTGACCGCTGGGTCCGTGCCCACCCACCGGGCAGGGTGGGCAGCACCGCGGCCCCTCGGTGTCCGGCCGGACTCCACCCCGAGCATCGCCGTCCCGCGCAGCTCCGGACTTGGCACGCCGGACTGGGGCCGGTCGGAGCTTGTTTGCAGAGCTYGCCCGTTTGCTCGGGCTCGGAGCCAGATCCGGGACTGGCGCGGGAGAGCGGGGCAAGGGCCGATGGCGGTGGTGTCCCCACCCCGGCGGGGCGGCMGGACCCCGCCCCCGGCCAGGTGCTGCGTGTGCCAAGGTGCCGCTGGAGCGGTGCCACCCGTGCCGGAGATAATGGAGGCTGTGCCCGCAGGGGACATGTGCARAGCCACCGTGCAGCCGGAGYGGTCTCTGTGTCCCYTCTGTGTCCCCTCTGTGTCCCYTCTGTCCCCCAGTGTSGGGGTGGGCACATGGGACATMGCCCCCACACCCCACCCTGCCACCCTGGCATTTGGGGGCACCCAAAAGCCGGAGCACGTGAGAGTGGCCCTGCCCGCCTTGGTGTCCCCGTCGCAGGTGGGGACGTGTGGCAGCTGCCACCCGGAGGTGCCAGGCTCAGCTCGGGGCGGTCCTGTCACCGTGAGAAACCCCGGAACGTGCCAGGCTTAGGGACAGGAGGAAAAACCGACCCCAAGCGGGTGTCACCAAATCCTTGGGTGGCCCTGGGGGTCTCCGGGGAGATGCCTGGGGCACGGGGACCCCGCGGGGAGCGGCGTGGGGAGCGCCCGGCCAGGGGCCAAGGCGTTGGGAAACAAAGAGGAGCTGGAATTGGGATCATTTCCCGACCCAGCCGGGGCTTGCCCAGGACGAGGGGGGGTTGGACACACCCGGACCCAGCCCGGCTGTCCCGGAGACCTGCGGGCCCCGCGGGAGGGGGCAGCGCCCAGCCCGGCCGGGGTTGGGGACACTCCGGCCATCGTGGGAACAGCGGGGGTCTCATTTAGGGGAAGCCACCCCAAAGGTCTCCACAGACAGCCGGGGCACCCCATAAATCCCATAGGATGGCATGGAGGGGACTGCACCCAACCGCGCTGCGACAGAGCCACCCTAAGGACCCCCGAGACCCTCCAGCGACAGCAGGGAGGGGGCCCCAACCAGCCCAGAGCCACCCTGGGGACCCCCGACACACCCCGGGGACAGCAGGGAGGGGCTGCACCCAGGGCACGACCACCCTGGGGTCCCCACAGCCCCCCGGGGACAGCGGGGAGAGGAGCCCGGCGGGGACACGGCCACCCCGGGGGCGGCGGGGAGCGGAGCGGAGCCGGTCCCGCGGGCGCGCCCCGGGGCTCTCTCCGCGGCGGGGCCGGAAGCCGCACCCCGGTCCCGTTTCCCGGGCGCGGCCGCGTGTCCCGGCGGCTCCGAGGGCGCGGTCCGGCCGCAGCCGTTAACGGGACGGGCGGGGGGACACCCCGGGGGACACCGGAGGGGACACCGGGGGTTGAGTGACCGCTCCCCTGCCAAGTCCCCATCTCCGCCCGTGTCGCCGTCACGGTGCGCGCGTCCCTCCCGGTGCCATCCCGGTGCCACCCCGGTGCCATCCCCGGTGCCATCCCGGTGCCACCACGTGCCCACCTGCTCCCGGTGCCCGGTGCCAGCCCCTCCCTACCTGCGGCGCCGGTCCCGCTCTCCCGGGGCGGCAGTGCCGGATGCCGCCGCCCGCGCCCTTTTCACGGCTGATGTCACCGCGGCCGGGGGCGGCCCGGGACCGCCCGGGACCGCCCGGCACCGCCCGCCCCCGGGGCGGGATCCGCCGGGGCCGCGGCCAGGGCTGGGACCGAGCCCGCCCCGCCGGGGGGACCCAGTGGCCGTGGTGGCCAACGTGAGGACAAAGTGGTGGCCCGGGGACAAAAGGGTTGGGGTGGCACTGGGTTGGCCGAGGTGAAGATGGGGTGGGCGTGGTGGCGACGGAGTGGCCACGGTGGGGACAGGGTGGCCACGGGGGTTGTGGGAGGGACAGAGTGGCCGTGGTGGGGACAGGGTGGCCACGGTGGCACGGATTGTGGCGAGGACGGAGCGGCTGTGGTGACAGGGGGACAAGGGTGGCTGTGGTGGCAGAGGTCAGGATGGGGGGTGACTGTGGTGACAGTGTCACACGGTGGCTGTGGTGGCTGAGGTGACGATGGGGTGGCTGTTGTGGGGACACGGTGGCCATGGTGACAGGCAGACACAGGGGACAATGTGACTGTGGTGGCTGTGGTGACAATGGGGTGGCTCTTGTGGGGGCATGGTGGCCATGGTGACAGGCAGACACAGGGGACAATGTGACTGTGGTGGCTGTGGTGACCATTCGGTGGCTCTTGTGGGGACACGGTGGCCACGGTGACAGGCAGACACAGGGGACAATGTGGCTGTGGTGGCTGAGGTGACGATGGGGTGGCTGTTGTGGGGACACGGTGACAGGCAGACACAGGGGACACGGTGGCTTCAGTGGGGACAGTGTGGCTTTGCTGGGGACAGTGTGGCTTTGCTGGGGACAGTGTGGCTGCAGCAGCAGGGACAGAGTGACCATGATGGTGACAAACTGGCCACAACCCCCCTGAAGGTTTGGTGGCGACAGTGGCTGCGGTGACAAAACCTGGCACGGTGACACAGAACCCCACAGTGGCACGTTGTGGGTGCCAGCGCCTTGCTGTGACAATGACAGGGACAACCATGGCCTGGCTCTGGTGGCAGGGGGACAGCTCGGTGGCACGGGGGGGAGGAGGTGGCCCGGCCAGCACCCGCSGTGTCCCCGGTGGCGCCGGGAGGGACGATGGCCTTTGCACAAGTCCCCGTCTCCATGGGAAACGCCACCAAAACAAAAAACAAAACCTCGGCTCGAGGCCACCGGCCGCCTCCGGGAAGGGTGACAGAGCCATGGCTGCGGTGTCCCCATCACCCCACCCACCCCTCAGCACCCACTGTCCCCGAGGTGCCACCAGAACCCYGCTGTGGTGACACTGGTGACACTGCCATCCTGGGGACCAGCCTGGGAATGTCCCCTCGCCCTCCCTGTGTCCCTCCCGCACCCGTGGGTGTCACAGGGTGGCGTGTGCATTGTCACTTTAACCCTCTAAAAGTGTCCCCCCGGGGGTTTCTTGTGGCTTTGGTGGCATTGGGGGGGGACACGTGGAGGAGGGGACACGGCAGGGAGTGGCATTTGGGGACCTGTGGGACAGGGGTGACATGGGGGGTGGCACAGGGGCCAGGGGGTGACAAAGATGGAGATTTTKGGGTGACACTGAGCAGGGTGACACCTTTGGGTGACACAAATCGGGAACAGTGACAGCAGGACAGGATCCTGGAAGGACTCGGGCAGGTGACACAGGGGACGATTTGGGGACAGGGATGGGAACCTTACGGGGGTGGCACAGGGTTCTGGGGTGACACGGGTGGGGACAATGTGGGGGTGACACAGGGACACGGGGGGAGGGGACCTCGGGGACAAACTGAGGAAGGGACACAGGGCAGGATAACGGGGACAGGGCAGGGGACATGGCCAGGGGACAATGGGTGACAGGGGGACATCATGGGGGGACAGG